AAATGGACCAGTAATCTACCTTTATCCTTAATATAAAAAATAATATTGACAATTCTGAACTTAAACCTTTATTTCGCTCACTGGGGTAGACCGTTCTAGTTCCACGTGCCATGTTTAATGGATGTCAGTTATCAGTTATCTCCTGTTAATTTCGCTCTGAACTTTTTTTTCTGGTAATATTTTTGTTTTGTTAAAAATCTATTTCTGATAATATTTTTTTCCACAAAAATGTATAGCTGGTAATATTATTTTTCCAAAAACGTATAGGTGGTAATATTATTTTTTCAAAAACGTATAGCTGGTAATCTTTTTTCTCTTCAAAAATTTATATCTGGTAATAATTTTTTACAAATTATTTCTGGTATTAATACCTATTTTTACACTTGTATAATGCCTTTTACCTCAGTTTCTGTGTTAACTATTTGTCCATAGCTAGGACCCTAACAGGTGCTACCACCCCGGGTCTGGGTGGACCTGGGAACACCAGCAGTTAAGAGGAGATTCCACGCTCCTCAAAGCCTCCTGATCAGAGGCCTTGCCGTTGGACGTAGTTTATCCTCTTACCCTGGGCGCAGATGTAGTTTATCGTTTTACCCTGGACGCGGATGTAGTTTATCGTCTTTCCCTGGACGCAGATGTAGTTTACTGTCATATCCAGGACGTCTTAAACAAGGTATTAACACGAAAACCGACTGCAAACATCTTTGTTCCAAAAACAGAAGTGATATTTACTACGGATGCAAGTGAACATGCTGTAGCCGCAATTTTATCTTAAAAAGTTCATCCAATAGTGCTCCTGTCGAGAAAATAAACATCAGCTGAAGCTAACTACTCAGAAGCATTAGAAATAGTATGGAACATTGACAGTTTAAAATCTTTGTTAGTTAAAGTCAGATCCCAAAACCTTTAGATTTTTATATTTAACCGCAGAAAGGTATTGCTAAAATTCAAATCTTCTATAAATTTAAGGCTAAAAAACTCATGGCTTTTGATTAAGGCATCATATACGTAAAGGAGAGCACTATTCCTCACGTGGATACGAAATACAGATTAAATTTCGACAGTGAAAATGTCGAAATGTCTGAAAATTGAAAAGATAAAATACTGCACTAGGTTGAAACGAATATGTTACGTCTAAACTCCCTCAGGATAGAAACCATAACAGATTCATTGATAAGTAAAATTTCGGACAGAATAAAAAGAAACACTACGAAGAATCCTGACTTAAGTTAACTGTAGAGAAAGGTATAATATGCAATAGAGATATAATAATCCCAAAAAGTGTAAGAAAAGAAGTACTAAAAGGTGTATACGATTATGTACATTATGGCATAACCACGACACAATTGAGATTAAAATTATATTCTTGAGATTAAAATTATATTCTTGAGATTAAAATTATATTCTTGAAATTCAAATTGTGTTCTTGAGATTAAAATTATATTCTTGAGATTAAAATTATATTCTTGAGATTAAAATTATATTCTTGAAATTAAAATTATATTCTTGAGATTAAAATTATATTCTTGAAATTATAATTATATTCTTGAGATTAAAATTATATTCTTGAGATTAAAATTATATTCTTGAGATTAAAATTATATTCTTGAGATTAAAATTGTATTCTTGAGATTAAAATTATATTCTTGAGATTAAAATTATATTCTTGAAATTAAAATTATATTCTTGAAATTAAAATTATATTCTTGAAATTATAATTATATTCTTGAGATTAAAATTATATTCTTGAAATTATAATTATATTCTTGGTGGCCAGTATATTCACCATACGTAGTAGACTATGTAAAAAGCTTCCCAAAATGTGCTGAATCCAAAAAAAAAAAAAATTCACTCGTGGTCTAAAGAAAAAGTACCCTGAGCTTGGGTACTCATGGATCAAACCCATATTAAAGGCATGAGGCTGTTTTAATTTTTATTGAACTCATTTTCAGGATGGCGCGAAGTAATTAAGGTTGCTGAAAGAAAAGCCACCACTGTAAAACAAATATTAAGAACAATATTTTCAAGGAATGGGATTCCTAAAACATTTGTCTCAGACAACGCTGCAGAGTTTTGCGAGGGAAGTTTGTGCTCGTGGCTAAAGCGTATTGAATGCGTCCCGTATAAAACACACATTACGACCCACATTCGAATGGAATCACAGAAAGAATGATGCAGACTGTCAAGATGGGACAAAAAGCATTTTCCCCATCTAATGACAATATAAAGAGTTACTTACCAAGATTACTGTTAAGCTATAAAACGCATTAATGGGTAGACAGATTCGAGCTCCCATAACAATGCCATGTTCAACAAGTGAAAATGTATAGTATAAAAAGGAATGTAATCCAGAAAGGCGAATTTGTCGTACAGAAAGGAGACAACACACAGCAAGACAAAGAAAAAAAATACTGGGCCATGCGGGGCATTTCAAAAGCAGAACGGAACCCGAGGATATGGAAATGGACGAAGAATCTGAAGATGAAGATGTAGGGTCGAAGGGAGTAATGAAGCCAGTAATTAAACTGAACTATGGATGTTAATGACCAGGAATCTGAAGCAGGGCCGGAATAGGAAATCAGACTTAGGTCCCCAATTAGATGAAATAAAGATACACACCAAGAAAGACAATTTAGATTCCCATGAATAATTAGATGTCAAAGGGCATAAAGCCATTTCGGTTCAGGAAAGTGATGTGTTTTATGTAAACGAGATACTGCTGTAAAAGCAGCACGCTACAACAAATTTCATTAGAGCTAACATCTGTTGACGTGACAATGTCCATTCCAGAGATTACTCTACTACATAACAATATCGTTTGTTTTACATTGGTCAATCATGTTTCATGTACATTCGACTTGTTAAACAAACGTTTGTATAAAGGTGTTCCGAATTCAAGAATCATGGAAGCGCCCATCCAAAGTTTCAAGTAATTAACGGATTCCATGCCTATCTGAAAAATCGTACAACGTTTCATTCGCTCCGAATTAATCTTTGATCTGAGAAAATGGTTGTGTGCATATACGCATATAAAGAAATAATAGAAACTGCAACACACAATAGAGAAGGAATCAGAGCTAGTCGAGATTATAGAGTCATTGTAAACGCCACAATTTTTTCCTTAGCTGTATCATATGTGTTTCGACTGAGCTACATACGGGTTTTGGATTCAGGATTTAACTTCTCCTAGACTGGCCAATAATCAACAATGAAGTGTCCAGTCTTGTCTGTTACTTAACACAACAGAGAGTAGAATAAGTACATTCATACGTTTCCCAAGGATATCTCTGGGGAATTGGAACGACTCTCCGATTATTCATTCCGGACCAGTATCCATTACACCACCTGTACATCTAGATTTAATGTATAACTTCGTTTAAAAAAAGAAAATAAAGTTAAACTTTATGAAGTTATACGTATCCGAATGAACTTTGGGATACTGACGTGATATTGGAAGGGAGAAGTGCGCATCAACCGAAAGAAAAGTTGTTAAATAAAAATTGTTATTGATAAAATTATATTGTGAAGTGTTTATTTGAAACACCAGACGTACCGGATATCTGCAGAAGAATTCGTGTACCGTAGTTGTGGGAATACGATATCGAAAAGTAATGAATTATTCTTCTTAATAATGGAATGCTGAGAGTGCATAAAATGGATGCAAGAAATGTGGCAATATTTCATAATCCAGGCGTCTTGTCCGCCATTTCATTAAAAAAAATAAAGATGACGCAGAAAGAGTGAAACGGATATAATAAAAAAAAATATCTGTATTACTAACCAGATGTTTCCTTCGCATCCCTCGTCATTTTGCAAAAGATATTTCTTTGCCACCTTTCTTAAAGGATTTGTTTTATTTGCATGTCTGATAATTTTAAGTTTTTACTTTTGGCATTACCATTGTACGAAGTCTGATCAAAAATATTAGAACTGATGGCATAAAAAGAAAACTACAACACATACTAATTCGGTATTTAATCGCCTTCGAAGTAGCCCCCTTCTGAAGCCACACACTTTATCCAGTGTCGTTTCCATTGAAGCATTTACTGAAGCTGCCTTGTATTCTCTCTTCTCGAGGTTTTTGAAATTTTCTTTTTTCCAAGAGGGATTTGATTTTTGAATCGGAAAAGTCGCAAGTTGCGATATCTGGTGGAAAATTTTGGTTGACAAACCTGGAGAATGGTGTACTTGGCCAAATACTGCTTCAAACACAAGCCAGGTTGATGGAATATCTGTGGGGTGGTGTAGTGATGCGATCGCACTCATCACACTTTGATTCCAAATACTGCTAAAAAATAGAAGTGAAACACATGTTATAACTTTGTGCATATAGGCGAGGGCGTTCAAGGATCACTCTGTACCAGGCGGTATCACTTTATTATTAGATCTGTTACCATGGCAACAGTGGTGATACGTTTGACCAGAAATCGTATATTGTTTTATTTGGACTCTTTTTCATAATACTGTGATTTTGAAGAACAATTTTGTATGTCTCAATTAAAGGAAGTGGATTAAAATAACAGACATCAGTAGTGAATAAAACATTTGAAGAAAATTACGTATATATTATACTGAAATAACATGATTAGTAGGCTAAGCGTAAACATAAATAGTATACGCGTATGATTAATTATAAAAGAGCAAACATTAAAGAAGAACTTTCTAACAAAATAAGAATAGGGAGTAAATTCAGGCGTTAAAAGGGAGAAAAAACTTCAATGAGTTGGTTAAGGGATGATGGCTTCGGGATAATATTTGTTATGGACACACAATGTGTCGTGTAATGGAGGGAAGCGTATGAGACACCCAAAGAAGAGCGGAGAGTTGAGCTGTTCATTGTTAAGATAAAAAAGATAACAATTTTGAGGAAAATATTCCAAATTATTCTATATTTGATTCTTATGGGGTTTTATTTCTTTTCATTTCATTTATCGTCCTCTCTACTATTCACTTCCACGTCATTTAATTTTATTTATTCATTTGTCTATTTAATAATTTAGGTTATTATTCCCTTTCTTTCTTTCTTTCTTTCTTTCTTTCTTTCTTTCTATTCGATGTCCTTTTCATTATTTCCATATCACACATACCTTTTCCATATCTCTTATCCCTCCATATCTGTCCTCACTTTTTTCTTTTTCCATTTCTCAGTTTCTTTCTTTCTTCTCTAGCCGAAATTTTCATTCTTTCTTCCTTTGGCTGAGTTTTCATCTATTTATTTCTCTTCTAACTATTTCTTTCTTTTTTTCTCTCTTTCTTTTCTTTTTCTTTCTTTCTTCATTTTTCTACTTTGGTTGGGTTTTCGTTTACTTTTTCTCCGCTAAGCAAATTATTTCTTTGTTTCTTTTAAAATTCCTTGAGTTCGCTTATATAACTAAATGTATGAAAAACCTACGTTTTAGTTAATCTTTGTGATTGTATAGAGGAACTGGTTTAGTCTTTTTATCCACAAATCAGAGCTGTGAAAATGAAGGAAATGACTTATATTTTTACCATGAAAGGAAGGTAATTTTTCTCGTTGCCTCTTACATGTTTTCTTCTTTTTCCTCTCCTTGCATTGCTTCCTTTCTTTCTTTTTTTCTTTCTTTCTTTTTTTCTTTCTTTCTTTTTTTCTTTCTAAATGTAGTACCTGTGTCAATTTAATTCCTTCTTCCGTTTTCTTTTCACTTTTTTCTTATCCATTCCCTTCTTTATTTCCCGAATCATTCGTTTTTACTCTTTGTTTGATTTATTTATGTTGTGTAGAAAGACAACCAACCTTCTCTTCTGTAATTGTCGAAGATTGGTCGCAAAGTGGGTCGCAAGCATTGCCGCACTGAACTACATTATTCGCTATTATTGTATAATTCATCCATCTTTCTCAGGTGGTTAAATAGTTTCTTCACCAATCTTTTGTTCCACTGTTGCATTGCCACAATATTTGCCAGAAACAACGAACCTATACAAGTATTATGACAATGTATTATTTCCTTTCTTCCTGCAGGTAACCTCGAGGCTGATCAGTACCTATATGGTTGACCACTTAGAATGCCAGGTGGCGTAAGCTTCGTTGTTCGGTTGGGGTAAAAGATAACGGTTTGTAATTAGAAATTGGACGGCCGAGTTTCAATTCTAGGCGGGTATCTTTATATTCACTTACGCGCAAATAACTTTCGTAAATGTATGAGTCCACCTAGATTCACGCAGATATGGGTTAAACAGTGAAACTTGTATCAACAAATTATCTCTAAATACTCTTACAATACAAAATAATTTCGAGTGGTTGATAAACAATAAAACAAATAATTCAATCCATCTTTCATTGATAGATTGGTAGATTGGAGAGAAGACATAACAGAAGAATTTAGCATGGAGACGAGACTTCAGGATAGACATCTTTTAAGAGAGGTTGATTCCACACGCTGTCTCTGATCAGGTTTGTCTTCAAGACCACTCCTCCAACGTACATACTCAGAAGTTCAAGTTTTGAGAATCACACTTGAAGAGCAGTTCTCCTGATGGCAATTTGAATTCGGTTATAGATTCGCCGCAGAGGAATCTTTTCGATGCAAAAAAAAAAATAAATAAATAAATAAATAAAAAACAACATGATACTTCAACTTTTTCTTCTTCTTTCAGTCGGTCATCGTCATTTGCTATGATTATTTTTAGATTCTATAAGATACATAACAAGAGAATTCCCGAAGCAACGAAAAAGCTCAATTTTAGAATCTAAATATCATAATAATTTGAATTCAGTTTGAGATATCTTCGTGATTCAATCCGCCCAGAACTTGGCCTCAAAATAAATGATCATCCGAAGATTTAAGTACTGGTGAGTAGTCGGAGTACATGGTGTGCAAAATTTTGCCGCGTTTGCAAATAGACGCGGGGTTTTCTGGTGTTGTCCTGGTAGAAGACGACACCCTTCTGATTATTCAATTAAGGACACATCGATTGCTGCCATCAATCGCTCCAATTCGAAATAAAATTTGTCTAAATTAAAACTATTTTGGGTGGTGGAAGGAGCTTGTAATATACAGTGCCGTTCTCATTTGGGGAGGTTAAACGTGGTTCCTTTCGTTTTTCCACAGGCTTTTTTCAGTATATAGTAGCAACAATCCATTCTTATAACTTATGATTGTGTTTATCAAAATACGGTTGCTTTTGTTGCGCATAAGTTGAAAATCTGATTCTGTTAAAGCGTGAGGCATTCAAACATTGTTGAGGTTCATGGATGTAAAGGTTTTCAAATCACTTACAAAGTTCGTAAGAGATATGAGGAATATCACAGTGATGTCAATTGTCATATGATCTAGATTATTCGAAATCAGCGTTTAGATTTGTTTACCATCAAGAGCTGAATTATTTTCTCTATAATGCTAAACGCAAAGCCTACAAAATCAACAGAAAAATACTCCGATAATAATAATAATAATAATAATAATAATAATAATGTCGCATATGAGAACATCAACAATCCTTGTTGTAGTTGGAGCCCTAGGATTGAGTGGAAAAGGTTCCAATAGACTGATTGAAGGGATTTCTGGTAGTACAAGCCTTATAGAAATGCATAAATTCTTTTCACGAGTACAACCCACACTTTGCGAAAGGCTTTATCTATGTGAATTTTTTTTTCACTTGCTCAGTGGAAAATATCATGACGGCATTTCTGAGCTTTCCCAGTCAGAAACCGCCCTTATAACCAAATGGCCTTCATCTAATAATAATATAGAAGTCATTATTGTTTTTACTGTCGGCACAAGTTTATATTGGTGAGTTGATTTCCTATTTTGTTATTTACCTGTTCTTCCCTCTGTCTATTATCAAAACAAACAAGTGATACGCAATCATGGTCGAGAAAAAAAGGTGATGAGATAGAATTCAGGGGGAATACGATTCATGCCTTTCCCAAAGGTATTAGTGTAAAAGTGATATAGAGTCATGGCTCTTCTTGCTGGGTGTGGCATAGAACATTTTGCACGGCACTCGTAGGCAGGCGCTTACATCCGTGCGGGTATTTTTTAATATTAAAACCTTTAATGTTTCTTTGCGAGGTTGACGTTTTCCGGTTGCAATAAAATAAAGAAACGCGCAACTGTTTTTTATTTAATTCCAACCGGAAGACGCCAAACTAGTCAACAGACATTAACGGTTTTAATATAAACCCCCCCCTCTCTCTCTCTCTCTCTCTCTATCACACACACACACTAACGCCAAAATAAAGAAGGCGAAACGCGGTGATTATAATAATGTTTAGCACTTTCTCTCATTTCTTCACTTTTCTTTAGATTCTGTATCATATCAACTATCTATGTATGTATCTATCTATAATTATATTTATTAATGTAGATTTGAGTAGCAACCCTTCTTTTAAACATGCTTTTATGAATATGGCGGACAAGGAAAATTAATTATTATTTTTGTTTTCTTTTTCCAACATTCTTATATTTGTCCGTGTGGTGGGAGTAAAGGTGTGCAAAAATTGTTCGTATTGCCATTGTCCCAAGTTGTTTCGGTCACTTCCTTATCCATTTTCAAGCGGGGTTCTGTTTGTTTAGGGGCTTTTAATTTCTTTTCATGTCTGACTCTGTAATATATATATATATATATATATATATATATATATATATATAAAATTAACCTCTCCCTATACTCTATCTTGTCTCTTTACCTACCACTCTCACCCACCCCTGTTAAATTAAAAAATTACACTACCTATCAATTTCTAATCCCATTTTTCCTTTCATTTCGTTGTTGGAATTGTTACCTGGTGATCCGGAGTCCTTTAAAAAGGATTTTGGTGAAATAAATTATTGTAATGGTACCTTAAAGTGGTCTGTTTTTCATTAAATATTAGCTCTGTATACACATTGAGCTCTCAGGATTCAATCCTCCTTGGAATTACCCATTCCGTTTACCAACTTCTTCATAACTTAATTAATTATATATATATATATATATATATATATATATATATATATATATATATATATATATATGTGTGTGTGTGTATTAGTATGTGACAAATTACAAGAAGATGTGTGCAGGTATTCGAGTTATTGTGTAGTCGTATGGAACAATGCCTACGTGCGTAAGTTAGTGTATATATGCGTGTATAAACTGGGTAACTCTATGCAACCAATGACTTCAAAGACAGAGAAATATTGATATGATTCCAATCAGTTCACTGAGTTTAAACCCAAAGGGATATATATTTATGCTATTTTATTAGACTTATTGACCCGACGGAGTCCATCCATATTCGGTTCAAAGCTCATCCAATGTCCTCCAATCTGATTCCAGGTCGCGAATATTGTGGTAACACGTTGCTGTTGGGTGGAGATTTTCCTAGACTGAAACCAATGACCAGGATGGTGGTTTTTCTTCAAGATGGAATCTCCGATGTCAGAAATCTGATTCAGCTTGTATTTTAATTCCTTCCTCACACCTACACAACTGACAAATAAATTCTTCTAATTACATTTTTTATGCTCCGCTAAGGCGTCATCTTCCTTTTTTATGTCCCGTATCCTTTAAGAAAGAAGGCGATCATGGCTTTCACTTTCTCCATATCACGTGTAGCTCTCAATAAGTTTTGTCCCCTGCTACTTCACCCAGACAATGTTCTGCCATCCACTTGCTTAAGCCTGCTAAGTATGTCAAGCGTTACTTTCCCTTGTCTCTCTTTCCCTCTATTCACCCTGTGAGCATTAGATTCTCCAAGCCGCTCTTTCTCATTACATGTCCCAGAAATTTCATCTGCCTCTTTCTGGTGTTAATTATAAGCTTCTTCTTCGTTTGAATCGTCTCCAAAACCTCATCGTTGCTCACACGCTGTCCCTCATATCCATAGCATCCATCTGTAGAATCATATCAGCTACGTACACATGTATATATACACAGAGAGAGATACATACACGCATACACGTGTATATATATATATATATATATATATATATATATATATATATATATATATATATATACCCACACGAATATACGCACTTACACACATCATACTCACTCACTCCCTAATGAGCCAAATGATAACACACCCACAGCAATACACACGTTTACACATATCATACTCACTCACTCCCTAAGAACCAAATAACACACACACAAACACTAAACAGAGACACATCCCCTCTCCAGGACAATAAAACTGTCAAAATGACCACGGGAATTCAGAGAAGCAGAGATCCTACAAGCTCTTATCTCGAATAACAACTTAAAAGAGACTGTTTGACCAACACAAGGAATGTTAAAAGATTCATGTTAAAAAGATAAAAAAATTAAAAAAAAACAAATGAAAACTACAGACAAAAGTTCATTTTCTCCAGCAAGACATTCATTTTTGTAGTTTACTGCTACCAGCAACTAGAAATATTTCTTCTCCTGATGATGGTCATTTTGGCCGAAACTAGTCGAGGAATCTAAATGAAATAATAATAATAATAAAAAACGGAAGAATATTAATCTACAACCCAGTGTGTCTGAAGATTTTAATTTTTTTTATTTTTTTATTGTTCATATATATATATATATATATATATATATATATATATATATATATATATGATTCATTAGAGACGACAGACAAGGTACTATGATTAAGCATTTTATTTAATTTTTCTTGTGTTCAAACAACTATTTTCTTTTTCTGGACAAAGAGTGTGTAGAAACATATATAAAGTGACACACAAACATACCAGACATCATTCCAAAACATACTAGTAGAAAATACAAGCATAATGACCTCATCGTGTAAAAAAAGATTAAAAATAATGGAATCCTTGATAACAAAAAAGAAAAGCCCAACACTCAATAATAATACCTAACAAAACAGCTACAATATGTTTACTGTTTTCGGAAAATAAAACATACTTCTAACTCTAGATACGTACAAATAACCCATAAATACAGTTTAAAATTAAAAATAAATTCATCCCGGATCTTTAGTATTACTGTGTTCATTAATATATCAAGTCAGCAATAGTTTCTTACTGTGATACAATGTTACCTCGAACTAATGTCTTATAAAAGGAAGAATATAGGTAAGACAAATTGACACCCACTGACCTGAGAGATTCACTGAATGAGAATTACTTAGAATGACACACAAATGCTCTAAAGGGTTATGGGATGCAACTGAATTCACACAGATAATTATCGCTATTATTTTCGACATTCTAGTAAGCTTTTTTCACTCTTGTCGTAATATAAAAGTTTCATTTAACTTTTTTCAAGAAAGGGCGTTCTTATAAAGCTTCCAGGCCTCTCACTTTTCTTTCTCGATTGTCTTCTCTTCTTCTTTATCCATTTTCTCCTTCATAATTCATCCTTTCTTTTACTTTTCTCATTCTTTCTTAGTCTACTAACCTTACTTTATCACCACACAACTTCCTTTTTCCCGTCCTCAAATGTTCTGTTTATTTCATCCTATCCATATCTCCAAAATATTTATTTTTCCAGCCTTTTATTCTGGATCTAATTTCTTCAAATTATTTTTCTTCAAACTCTTTTTCTTGAAATTCTTCTTCCTTTGGTTTTTGTTCTTCTTATTTGTCGTCTTCTTTTTCTACTTGAAATTTTATTTCTTCAAATTCTTCTTCGATAAATTTTTCCTTTTCTTCTTGTTCTTCTTTTACGTCTTTTTCTTTTTCTTCTTCAAATTCTTCTTCCATAAGTTCTTTTTTCTCCTTTTTTTTCTTCTTCCTCGTCGACATTTTCACATTGACTTTCTTCAAATTCTTCTTCTTTTTCTTTTTTGTTCTACTTTTTGGTTTTCTTTTTTATTGATCTTCTTCAAATTCTTCTTCTTTCCGTCGACTTCCTTTTCTTCTTGATGTTATTCAAATGTTTCTTCGAATTTTTCTTCGTTTTCTTCTTCCTGTTTTTCTTTTTCTTCTTTATCTTCAAATTCTTCTTCTTCAAATTCTTCTTCCTATTCTTCTTGTTTTTCTTTTTCGTCTTTTTTTCTTCTTGATTTTCTTCAAATTCTTGTTTCTTTTCTTCTTCTTGTTTTTGTTTTTCCGTCTTCTTTTTTCTCATTGATCTTCTTCAAATTCTGCTTCAAATTCATTTTCTTCTTTTTCTTTTCTGTCGTCTTCTTTTCTTCTTGATCTTCAAATGCTTCTTCTTTTTTTTCTTTTTGACTTTCTTTTTCTTCTTCTTATTTTCTTCTTGATCTTCTTTGTCCTTTTCTTTTTACGTCTTCTACTTTTTCTTCTTACAATCGTCTATTGGCTCCTCCGCCTCTTTCAGGAATTTGATCGTTAACTACATCTCATCATCTTCACTTTTATTCTAATATATATATATATATATATATATATATATATATATATATATATATATATACGGACACATACACACAACACACATATATATATATATATATATATATATATATATATATATATGATGTATTAAAATGCAAATGCTCCTAGAACACAAGACTCTAGTGTCACTCAAATTAGACACTAAATGAAGTGCCTGTTATGAATGTAAAAGAAGTGAAAAATTATGAGAATATAGATAATAGATAACGATTTGCCCTAGACATGCAAAGAGTAAGATTGTAGCGTTCGTGGAAGCATTCACACGGGAGCATTTTCTACTAAATTGCAGTTCTTGAGAAGAAGCTGTTTCGAGTGGAACTTCCTTTTTATCAATAGGATGCATTCGGAATAAGGAGGATTCGGTCCCTTCGACGAAGCAAATGTGTGTCTTTGGTTTAAATGTCTGCCCTAAAGAACGTAGCTCGTTTGAACATTTGCCATGCAACAAGCAACAGATGATTCACACCTGCGTGAAATTGGCACCAACGTGAAAAATAAGCAATTCATCCCCGTACCCGACAAAGTTGGTTAAATGATATGAAACTCTGTTAATTTTGGAAAATGAGGATTAAGCATCTCCAGAAAAGTTCTTTTGGCAATAATTTAATTCATCTTCTCCATATCTTCTTATAATTCTTTATCTTCTGGAAACGAATCTATTCTTCCTCATTCATCTTCTTCTTCATCAATCTCTCTGATTTTTCTTCTAACCAGACATCCTTATTCAGGCGCAAATTTCAGAAAGGTTTTATATTCATTTGCTTTCTTCTCAGTTCCTTTTTCTACTTAAGAATGTTCACAATGTCCTTCTCTTTTCTTTCGTGTACTTTCAGTCGCATCAGCCATTTTACTTGCGTTTGTCTAGCTAACCTAATCTCAATTTCCGCCTGAAAAATTCTTTAAAATCTCAGAAACTTCTATCAATTTACCAAAAACACCTCCTGGCGTTATGAAACTTTGATCTGCGAATTGATTGCTTCTAATCGACGTTTAATCGGGATTCATCTCCTTTTCAACTCATTAAGTAATTAAGATTTACTTAAGGCTTCGACGCCGGTTTATCTGTTAAACATCAAGAGAATCGTTTCAGATTATCAGCACAATATCTATCTATCTATCTATCTATCTATCTATCTATCTATCTCTTTCTCTCTCTCTCTCTCTCTCTCTATATATATATATATATATATATATATATATATATAGATAGATAGATAGATTGATAGATAGATGTATCTCACTACATATGCGTATATATATATATATATATATATTAAAATTTTTAAATTTTTTTAATTTTCCTATTGTTCAATATATATATATATATATATATATATATATATATATGTGTGTGTGTGTGTGTGTGTGTGTGTATATAAATGTGTGTGTGTGTGTGAATAAATATATAAATATAAATAAATATATATATATATGTATAATTATTTATATATTATATGCGCTCAATATTAGAAATAGAGCTCAAATATATATATATATATATATATATATATATATATATATATATATATATATATATATACTAGCAGCATGGCCCGGCGTTGCCCGTGCTTGATTCAAAAAACGTACGACTCATACAGGAATCGCTATCACTTGATGTAAAATATTTTTGCTCTTCCTTTCCTTTAAAGTACTGCATTTCCCGTGCTGATATTGCTACATGGCTTACTTCTTGACACTGAGAATTTTTTCGCAGCTCTATACTAAACATTAAATCTGTTACAAAAAAAGAACTAAACAAAATGAACATAAAACGATCAGTCTATATTTCTGAGATGAGGTATTATGTACATTATTCAGACTATTGTCCTCATCTTTGTACAAGGGCGTGTCCCGCTTTCTCTGCGACCCGACGAGCTCTTCTTGAATTGACAGGAGGTCTTGGTGCGAAGCCTGAAGGGAAGAGTTGTAGGTCTCTGCATTGGTTTAGGAATGTCAGGTGGTTCGAATTCGTGCAGGTTTCTGGTAGGATTTTTCAATTTGTCTCCATATTTTTGGTATATCAGGTCCGTACCGATCTTTCAGAGTCTGTCTATATTTCTGAGACTAGTTATTATGTACATTATTTACATTATTCGGACAATAGTCCGAATAATTTAAATAATGTATAAAACGATCAGCTTTAAAAAAGGACTCGTAACTTGAAAAACCGAATGAAAAAAGAATGTTAACAACAAATACTTTTTTCACACCGAAACCAGTTCTGCGGAATCAGAATAACGTTGAGTTTAAGCAAGAGAATGAGCCAACTGGAGTAAAGTGCCATGCAGATTTAAATTTTTCCACTTGTGACGAATGCAGCTATCGATTTTTTTGCATGCTAGCATGCTAGTTAACATTCGTGTCAGTCAGCTGTTGGCTCTCACGCTGGCCAATAGAATCTTCCTACCTATTCATGGCAGCCAGCTATAGGCTCTCACTCTGGCCAGTAGAAAATGGCCGAAAACTACATGAAAACTGCCGTAGAAGCATGAAAAAATCGATTATTTCCACTATCGATGGGAATTGGGAAATGCAAAGTCGGTCTTGGCCTTCCTGCTAAGTTGGAGCTTGTGCATTTAAATTTTGGTGCAACCACACAAAATTGCACACACACATTTCACACACACACACACACACATATATATATATATATATATATATATATTTATATATATATATATATATATATATATATATATAAACATAAGTCCAGGCTATTGAACTTGTCGGCCTGTTTTCTATTTACATACATATTTAACTTTATATATATATATATATATATATATATATATATATATATATATATATATATATATTTAAATATATATATATATATATATATATGTATATATATAAAACACAAATATTAACTCAGAGGCAACAGACAGTGCATAATAGCCCAGACCACATAATTCAGATCAAAAAAACAATGAACAAAAGAGCGGGAAAACATTCCAAGGTCTAAACCCCAAATAGAATTTTTGTGCAACCTAATCTCACACTCACTCACTCTCTCACTAACTCTCTCTCTCTCTCACACACACACACACTCACTCTTTCTCTCTCTCTCTCTCTTTCACAAACGCGCGCGCGCACACAGAGGGTGCGACGGGTAAATTGTAACCTTTTTATATCAATAATTTCGCGCCTGCGCGTTGTTTTTTTTAAATTTTATTTTATTGACTGCCAGCTATAGTAGAGCCACTTGTGAAAAAGAACACCACGATGAAATTCTCTCCGCCAGAAATTTGGAAACGGGATGCTGTACTGCTTGGCATTCGCGCCGGAAGCTTCAATAGAAAAATTTCAGGTTGTTTGGGTGTCAGTCTGGGGACAGTGCAGAGGATTCGGAAAGAGCTGGATGATATATCCAGTCAACATCATGTAGTTTGGGGTGTTTACAAATAATGGCTACATTATGGCTCCATTTATCTTCCCACAGGGCCACAGACTCAATACAGAGGCCTACATCAAGTGCCTTGAGTCAAGAGGGTGGCTGCTAGAAGACACTATGTCTGGAACGGGACTCTGCACCATGTCACCCAATCAGAAGAACACAGTCATAACTGTCAGAAAAATTCTGCGAGCACATCCCCCCTTATATCTGGCTACTTAACTTCGCACCATTTTGATTATTATGTGTGGGGCGCAGTTGAGCAAAAGACCAACAAAACCCCTTGTAAAACCAAAGTCGAACTGAACGCAAGGATTATGGCAGCATTCACCCACTTTAACAACAATAGATTCCAACATCATCTGGAGGCTGTGGCTGAACCCAATGGCGATTTTTCATTAATAAATTTATACTTTACTATTTCAAGATATTTTTGTGTAATTTTGGTAAATACGTCTGTTAAAATGAGATGACAGTGTTACTTTCATATTTGAGTAATTCATACAACAATTTATACATCGCACAATATATATATATATATATATATATATATATATATATATATATATATTATATTTAATTTAAAAAAACAGACCACTTTAAGTCTCCATATTTAATAATTTATTTCACCAGAGAATTTTATTTTCCTCTTGATCTTCAGACCTCACTTTTAAAGTTGAAAAAAAAAATGA